AGGAGGGGGCACATGCCTTACCCCTCCCGCAGTCTCCTTCTCCTGTTCTCATTCTCCTCCACTGAGGACTTGGGTGAAGGCTTTTCTGTTCCTAATGTCAGGAGAGGCTGGTATCTGTCTATGAAAAAGGCGAGGGACTTACTGGAAACATACTGGGATCTCTCACTGAGTCCAAGGAGGGGATAAACAGAAAGCCTCATGGCGGGGGGGCTTCATCAGAGATGCCCTGGGGCCCGGACGGGCTGCCTCGGGCGCCTGGACTGACGGGTAGGCCCCGAGTTCTCCTCGTCTTCCCAAACCAACGTTCGCATCCCCAGGAGAAGCATCTCCGAGGCCCAGGCTGGGCCAGGAATCTGTCTCTATTGGTCAGCCATGGTGGGGAGCTGGGTCGGTTAACAAAAAAGTGGATTCTGGGGGAGGAGTCTCCTCTCAGAGCTCTCCCTGAGAGGGGTCCCTGGGAACCCAGGATGCCGCCCCCCGCCCCGGGGCTGTCTGTTACAGGGGGGACCTGGGACTGTGCATGTGTGTCTACACCTTCCAGAGGGCCCACCCTCCACGTGAGTGTGCGAGTGTGTGAGTGTGCGAGGGCCTGGGCCAGAGAAGGTGCTCGCTGAATGCTTCTGGGATGAATGAACTCTGGAGCCCTTGACTTGGCAAGTCACAAAAGGATGATCAGCCCGGCCGGTGTGGCTCAGTGGTTGAGCGTTGACCTATGAACCAGGAGGTCACGGTTCAATTCCCAGTCAGGGTGAATGCCCAGGTTGTGGGCTCGATCCCCAATAGGGGGAATGCAGGAGGCAGCCGATCCATGATTCTCTCTCATCATGGATGTTTCTATCTCTCTCTCTCCCGCTCCTTCCTCTCTGAAGTCAATAAAAAATTATTTTTAAAAAGAAGAGGAATCAGTAGCATTTGTGGGCACAGGGGCTCCCAGCAGGAGCTGTGGGTGAAGAGAAGGCATGGTGGTGGGTGGAGAGGACAGAGGGGAAGGGGGAGACAAGCTGGGCCGGAAGGGGGGGCAGGAGTGGGGAGCCCAGGCCACCGTGACCCCTGAGCCAGGAGACGCCGTGGCTCTGATGTCCCCTGTCCCTGAGGAACGGAAGTGGGCCAGTGTCTCTGTTTTCATGACATGGTTCGTGATGTTAAATAATTTTTACTGAATAGTCTATGAATTTTCAAATGTATCTCTCTGACAATAAGAACTTCAGTAGATTTTCAAAATTTCCTGCCAACATTGTATTTTGGTTGGTGTTCCCAAGCAGAACCTACAGCGGCTCCAGCTCACGTCTGGGCCCACAGCCTGTCCTCCTCGGAAATTGAGGTGTCCTGGAGCGCCATCCCGTGGAAGCTGAGCAGTGGCCATCTCCTCGGCTACGAGGTACTTGCTCTCTGAAGCGCGGCCTGGAGGGTGCCACACCCCTCGCTCCGTCCCTGTCCGTCTTTTTAACAGTGACGTCCTAGCTGACGTCTGGCTTTCACTGGCATTTCGCCAGCACGTGGTCCCCTGTGAATATCCAGGGATGTTGAAATGAACTCAACAAGTTGAATGAAAATAACGTTAGTTGGGGTAGAAAAGGAAAAAAAAATAGCCATCGAAAAGGAACTGGATCCCCTGGGCACGGTTTTTAGAAGGCTTGACCGAGACACGAGGGTGAGATCGGCCTGTCCGGTTCGCGTTCAGGGGACGTCCATGCCGTTAGGATGGTCCTCAGCTCTCGGTCTTCCTTTCTTGGTGGCCTTGGCATCTGTAGACAAATAACTCCTTCCCTTTCTCCAGGTACTGTCTCCTCCTTGAGCCTCCGTGGCTCAGAGCCCACTGTGTGCAGTACACAGTAGGCACTTTGCCAATACTTGTCTAAACGATGACATACATCAGGGCGCCCACTTTAGTGAAAGCCGCTGAGCGTGAAGGTGGCCCCTGTCGTGTTTCGGCCCCCAGGTGCGGTACTGGACCAGCGGAGAGGAGGGCTCGCCGCGCAGAGTGAAGGTGGTGGCAGGGGAGACCGCGGCCCGGCTCCACGGCCTGAGGAGCCACCTGGTCTACCACGCAGCCGTCCGGGCTTACAACAGCGCGGGTGCCGGGCCCTTCAGCGCCACGGTGAATGCCACCACCAAGAAGACGCGTAGGTATCTTGTGTGTTGGGTGGGGGGCGGCGGGAGTTTGCATCCGGAATGACAGCTTCTGTGTGAGCCCAGCTCAGCCCCTGCAAACACAGAGCCACAGGCATTTTCCCAATCCTCCAAACCCCAAGGGAACGGGCACAGCCCCCATTTGGAAAGCTCAGTGTGAGGTGTTTAGTCAAGTACGTCTGCTTTTCTCTTAAACTGTGACCAACTTACTCAGCTTGGGATGTCTGATAAGTGTGAGAAAGTTAACATTCATGTCAAGGGATCAGAGGTGATTTCTCTTCCTCTCTCCTACGTTGTTTGAAAGATGGCAATGTAGAGTAAAGGTTACCCTCAGCGGTGGGTCCAGGAGGGATGCTTTAAACCGCACCAGGCGAAAGCGTTGCCCTGAGCCGAGTCTGTTAGCTGTGCTCGCGGGGACTCATTCCCAGCACCAGGCTGGAGTTAGACCATGGAGCATGTGGGTTTGCAAGTAAACTGAAAATATCATCGTTATGTATGTTTGGTATTCCCAACATCTATTGTGAATTGGTAAGATTTAAATATGCGTCATTACATATTCAAAGCACAGTGTCCATCAAAAGTTCCGATTGCAAAAATATATGCAACAGGTTTATCTGGCTCTTTCCCTGACTCGGGAACTGATGTGAGTACTTGGTAGGAGAAGGTGGTTGTAAAACCCAGGAGACACCATCCGGGGACCAGCGAGGGACTCGGTGAACTGACCCGGCCGGAGGAGGGGGCTGGTTATAAATCAATAGGAATATGGCAGCCGTGCATAGGAGAGAACTAAATTTTTTAAAAGAAGCAGAAACCACTGTAATATTTTCAATAATAAAGTTAAGTTTATAAAAATAAAACATAGGGTGACTGAAAAAATAAAAATAAGCAAAACCCTTCATGATTGAGCGATGGTACATGAATACCCAATGTAATGTGCAAATTGCAGGAAACAATAAGGATAGTGATTATGATTTTTTTATTTTTTAAATATATTTTTATTGATTTCAGAGAGGAAGGGAGGGATAGAAACATCAATGATGAGAGTATCATTAATCAGCACACCCCCTACTGAGGATCGAGCCCGAAACCTGGGCATGTGCCCTGAACCGTGACCTCGCGGTTCATAGGTCGACACTCAACCACTGAGCCACTCCGGCCGGGCACGATTATGATTTTAACGGCTGGTGCTTCCACTGTTCTGTGAACATCTCAAGCATTGAATTCCCTAATTCTCAACTTAGAGAGAGGGCGCCAAGGCGTACACAGCCCCTGACTGTCCCCAGATCACAGAGGAAGGAGTGGGACAGCCACCCATACCCGGCCCTGTCCTCTGGGTGCCCTTTTCATTGACACGGATATTCGTGTCTCATTCAACACCAGGTTACTGGGACTCTACCCTGTGCCCAGGACCCGGGAGTGGGGGGATCTTAGACAGGCAGCACTGCTGTGCACACGCGCTGTGCAATGATGGAAGTTCCACCAATGGAACAAAATCTCTGGAAATTCCACAATTCATCAGGCACCTGCATGTTGGCCGTGGCTGTTACCATGGACACGATCCCACATTGAGTGGGAAATATAAAGATAACTGAAATCCCTAGCCCAGCTGGCATGGCTCAGTGGTTGAGGGTCAACCTATGAACTAGGAGGTCACTGTTCGATTCCTGGTCAGGGCACATGCCCGGGTTGCGGGCTTGATCCCCACCAGTATGGGGCGTGCAGGAGGCAGCCAATCAATGATTCTCATCATCGATGTTCCTATCTCTCATTCTTCCTCTCTGAAATCAATAAAAATTATATATATTTCTACTAGTAAAAATCTCTAATCATCCTAACATTGTATAAAAAGAACATGGCTAGTTTTTAAATTTTGTGTCAGTCATTTTTCAAACATACCACGATACCCATGAAACAGAATCTCTTAAAGCTGTTTGCGATATTATAGTTCCTTCACTGTCGTCCTAACCTTTGAAGTGGCTTTAGCTGCAAATCCTACTTGCGGGTTTTGGTAAGGCTTTTGTGGTTATCGCCAGGGAGACAATTAGCGGCATGCTTTGGGCGTCAAGAACTAAACCGAGGGCTTTGATGACTCGCTGGCTGTCTGTTCACCCAGCCCTGTGCCCGGCGTGGCCCTGGGAGCCACTCATTACATCTCGATGGGTGGCTGAAATCTACAGAAGCAGGCCCTGGCCTCGTACCCCCTGCACACAGACCAGGTCCCCAAAATGCCCACCAGGCCGGCGGCAGTCCTCGGCTCACTTCCTACCACCCTGGCCTCCTGAAGTATTATAAGGAATCAAATATACTTCCTTTCGGCTGAAAATTGTGATTTTAAAGCACTCACTGGAGTCCTCACCATCTTGCTTAAAAACGTGCGAGCGTTGTGTCCCCATAATCACGGAAGTCGGTGTGCGTGGCTTTGCATCCTACAGATCGTGGCTGCTCTCTCTTTATCCGTGTACGATAATACAGGGACTCTCAAGTAATGTGGCTGCTGCTGAACACTGAATTTTTGATCTCCAACTGCGTGTGCTTTGCGAGAGCGTTTCTCTTAAACACTAAGTAGCCTCTCTGATAAGATGAGCTTCTGTCACTTGCAACCCAAAGCCAGCTCTTCGGAGCACCTTCCCCCCAGAGGCGCTGAGGAAACGGGCAGGCGGCACAGAAATCCATCGGCTCCTGAAAAGAAACACAGAGAATCCCGTGTCCAGGGATCTCGAGGACGAAGGCGCAGGGCTAATATTCTGCTTTCTCCACCCGGATGGCCAGCAGGGGCCCTGGCGCCCCACGTGGACGGGTCAGCCGGCACCCCCAGACCCTCTCGGGAGATCTCAAACTGCATTTTCCCAAAACTGCACTCTTGATGCCCCGCCCACCCCATGACACGTGTCCCTTCTGCAATCTTCCCAGGGTTTCCGTTGCTCAGGCCGCAAATCTCAGCGTTACCCTCTATTTTTCTCTTTCCCTCGTGCCCGCAAGTGATGGAGAACCCGCCGCCCCCTGTGCTCGCTGCCGTCCAGTGCAGCCCTCACATGGGTCCGGGCCAGGCCCCCTCTGCGCAGCCTGCTCCCGCCCTGGACTCACACCCCCTGCACACAGACCAGGTCCCCAAAATGCCCCCCAGGCCGGCGGCAGTCCTCGGCTCACTTCCTACCACCCGGGCCTCCTCCACTCCCGCAGGCTCTGCCTTCTGCCCAGGGAACCCTGTGTCCTGGTGCCCACGTGGCAAGTTCCCGTGCCCTCTCGGCCTTTGCTCCAATGTCGCCGCAGCGCCACCACGGGCGCCCCTGGCTGGGAAGTGTGGCCCCCACCCGTCTGCAGACATGCCCAACACTCCTGTCGCCTTCCTGGCTCTGACCCCGCACAGCACCCGCCTGTGTTACCGCGGGCTGGAGCGTGGGCCCCTCGGGCAGAGACTGCCCGCTTCCATCGCCACTGTCCCCAGCGCTCTGTCCCCAGGGTCCTCGGAACAGGTGGTGCCCTGAGTGTGTGGACAGACAGGACGGTCCCCATGGTCAGGGTCTGTTCCGAGGTGGCCTTGTTCTCCCCCAGGTCCCTCCTCGGGGCAGCAGCGATTCCATCGGCACCTCCAGGTTATTTCTCCCAACCAGACACGCTGGGAAAGTGGGCATCTCCCCCCCCCCCCCCCCCCCCCCCCGACCCCCCGCACGGCGTCCTCCTCGGCTCTTCCCAGATCCTGGCTCTGGGGCTGGATGATGGAGGCGGGGCCCGGCCCCCCTGGAACCAGGGGTCCTGGGTTTGTGGCTGCACCGATGACGACACGTGTGTCCACCTGAGAAACACGTGTGGACCGGCTCTGTCCGCTTTGCGCTTGAGGTTTTCTGGCTCTGCCCGAACGCTGTGCATCCCCCTGGGCAGATGCTGGTCCGCTGCCTCCCTGACGGCCCCTTCTCTGCCCCGGGGGCAGTTCCCTCCGAGCTCGGTCCCTGTTAACCCCTCACTCTCACTTCCAGCGCCCAGCCAGCCGCCGGGAAACGTGGTCTGGAACGCCACGGATGCCAAGGTGTTCCTGAGCTGGGAGCAGGTCAGAGCCATGGAGAACGAGTCGGAAGTGACGGGGTACAAGGTGAGTGGCGGGGTTTGTGGTGGTCTCGGCTCCCGCCGGGGCTTTCCAGGGAGCTGGGCTCAATTTCCTCCGTGCGGGAGGTACGGCTTCTGACTATAGCTAATGATGTCATTCACATGTTAAGCCTTTTATGAAAAAGGCTTGTTCCCAAAATGTCTGATTCCTTAAATACAATGAAAGTGAAATCATTCTGCTCACGTGGGGGTTTTGGACAAAATGTTTGTAAATTGTTTATGTGAGTTTGCTGCTTCTGATGCTACCTATGGACGACTTTAAAAACAATGAAAACTGCCTGGCTGGTGTGGCTCAGTGGTTGAGCGTTGACCGATGAACCAGGAGGTCACAGCTCAATTCCTGGTCAGGGCAGATTCGGGGTTTTCTGGCTCAATCCCCAGTAGGGGGCGTGTAGTCAGGGCACATGCGGGGTTTTCTGGCTCAATCCCCAGTAGGGGGCGTGTAGGAGGCAGCTGATCAATGTTCCTCTCTGTCATTGTGTTTCTATCCCTCTCCCTTCCTCTCTCAAAAATATCAGCAAATCATATTTGAGCCTTAGGTTTGGCTCAGTGGATAGAGCTTTGGCCCATCCATGGTTCAATTCCAATCCAGGGCACGTACGTTGGTTGCAGGTTAGATTCCCAGGCCTCGGTCAGTGCCCAGCCCTGGTCAGGGCATGTGCAGGAGGCAACCAATCGATGTGTCTCTCTCACATCGATGTCTCTCTCTCTCTGTGTATCTCTCCCCCTCCCTTCCACTCTCTCTAAAAAGCAATGGGAAAATACCCTCGGGTGAGGACCAACAACAACAAACATATTTAAGAAAACACAATGAGAAGCATTGTCTCTGGTCCTCCGTGTGTGTCCACGATCAGGGCAGGGGGCCTGTCCCCACCCGGACACCTTCCCGCTCAGCTCTCCGGGCGACCCTAACCCTCCCAGACGCTGTGGTTGATGGCCCTGCCACGTGAGAACCCCGGGGGACGACCGTGGAGAGAGAGAGCTGAGGATGGGACTTAAGCTGGGTGGATAGAGATGACAGGCACAAGGCCAGAGCAGTGAGTTCCACGAGAAACGCAAATGTGGGCGACATGAGTGTGTGTTGGCGCATTCCAGGTGTTCTACAGGACTAGCGGCCAGGGCGGCCTGCAGGTGCTGAGCACAAACCGAACGTCGGCCGAGCTGCGGCTGCCCGTCCAGGAGGGATACGTCGTCCACGTCCGGGCCACGACGGCCGGAGGGGACGGGGCCAGCAGCGCGCCCGTCAGGATCCCGAGGAGAACCAGTAAGCGGACAGGCCACAGGCTCTCCCCCACAACACCCTTGGGGACCCCGAGTCCTCAGGGCCCGTCTGTCCACTCCTTCCCCACACTGTTCATCGGGTGCTGAGACAGTGTTGGGGTGAGGGGTGAGGCAGGGGAACTAATTCCTCGAGAGTCGTGCAAAATCAGGGGAAGGGTAAGACAGGAAGACAGAAAAGACGTGAGAAATATGTAGCAAAACCATCCATTTGGATCCTCCCCCCCGATGCTTGCCCAGGGAAGCTTGCTTTAATGAAACCCTCCATTGATCTCAGTTGTGTGTGTCATAGAGTAGAATTGTTTTCAAAATTAAGTTGTTTTCTCAGATTCAGTTAACGTTAAGTGATAGTGTACGAACAAAGCCTAGAGTTGTTTAGGAAAGCGTAAATACAGCCTGGCCGGTGTTGCTCAGTGGTTGAGCGTGGACCCAAGAACCAGGAGGTCACAGGTTCAATTCCCAGTCAGGGCACATACCCTGGTTGCAGGCTCACTCCCCAGTAGGAGGCGTGCAGGGAGCAGCTGATCAGTGATTCTCTCTCATCATTCGTGTTTCTCTCTCTCTCTCTCTCTCTCTCTCTCTCCCTCTCCCTCTCCCTCTCTCTCTCCCTCCCTCTCTCTGATATCCATTTTAAAAATACTTTAAAAAAGAAAGAAGGAGGGAGGAAGGGAAGGGAAGGGAAGGGGGGGAGGGGAGGGGAGGGGGGCGAAGGGACCAGTGTGTTCATAGATCCCCTTGGCAGCTAACGTGTGCCCCACTGTAAACAGAAGGCGCTGATCATGACGTGTGGTCCTTCCTGCTCTGAGAGGAGGAGCGGGGTCTTGCCGTGGTCGGTGATGCAGGAGCCGTAGTAACCAGCTGTCTCTCACCTCGACAGGTTCGGACGCCAGGGGCTCCCCGTCGGCCATCGCCAACGTCCACCCCGTGTCACGCTACCTGCCGGCAGTCCTGTGCGTGGCTCATGCCCTGTGGTGATAGCAACTCTTTTTTACTATTTACTGCAAGTTAATTGGTTACAAAAAAAAAAAAGTGCTTTCATGAAATGCAGTGATTATGCATGGTTTCCCCCCACCCCCAACTCTGTATTTTTAACTTTCTACGCAGGTAAAATACAAATATAATTCAAAGACAAGCAGTACATCCTTTTAGGGGAATCTGAAATGCCTTAATACTTGATAAACCAAAGGACTTTATATATATTATGTATTTCAGACTTTTGATACAGAGGGTATCCCCCCAAAATTCAACACACACGTTGAATAACTATCAAGGCGGTGTTTATTAAAATACATTTCATTCTCAAAATGGAGCTATGGGCTGTGGAAGGGGGGACACCCTAGAGGTGTCTGTAAGCGATGGTTCTACACACTGCCTGTGGGTGAAGACGCCCATCCTCCCACGCAGACACGCGTCTGTTTGTTGTGTCTTTTATTCATGCAGAGAAGCTCATTGAGTCCAAAAGTTAGGTTCCCCGCCAGAGCAGCAGTGCTTGGGAGAGTTGGTCAGTGTTATTTCGAAGGGGTCAAAAACGCCTTTAGAAACTGCCCTGTCCTGAAGAGGGCGCCTGGGATTCGAAGGAGGGTTGGAAAATGCTGCCCTGGGGGCCCCAGGGGGGCTGTTTGGCCCCAGTGTCCTAGGGAGGGGGTGGGATTCTTCCCACCCCACTTTACCCAAAACTCATCTGTAAACCGTGGGGACCGTCACACCCCCCCCTTACCTGCCTCGGCCCCGGGAAGGACTTGGAACAGAGAAGGAAGGAGGCGTGAGCGGGGCTGCCCGCGCTGTGCAGACCGCAGTGCGAGTGTGTTTACAGCAGATGCGGGGACCGCGGCGTTTTCACAGCCCGCAGCCCATTCCAGAGCGGGCTTTTGTTTCATTCAAAGACGCTGTGAAATTGGAAGGTTCACACTTTCTCCTCAAATATTAAAAAAATAATAATAAGCATGACTTGTGTCCTTCACGCCTAGGAACAAGTTGCAGCTTTTATTAAAACCCCGTGGGCAAGAGAAGGAAGGACCTGAATCTCAACCCAGACATTAAACAAAATCCACACGGCTTTTCATTTCCAATGTCGGGTTCCATTAAGAGGCCCTCTCTTTTTTGGGGTGACAGAGACGGGCTTTTTTTTTTCTTAAATGAAATCCAACGGTCTATCTGAGAGAGTCGGGCAGGCTTTTTCGTTCCTGCGGTAAATTTGTAATAGAGCCGGGCGAGGCTGCTGACTCTGATGTGTGCGGTTTTCAAAGGCTTTTCAAGGACGCGACTTCAGAGCAATATGCAGAGAATAACGTGAAATCCGCAGATTGAGTGTCAGACGAGGCAAAAACAATTTTTTACCTCTCTCTCTTTTTTTTTAACCAATTTCACATTTTGCAGAAACTTGTTCTTCTCTGCAGAATTCTCAGAATTTGAAGCCAACAGTTTCATGTACCAGAAAGCATAAAGCCTTGCTTTTACGTTTAGAAATTTCATTTAAGATAAAGTCGTCCTACGCAGAGGAGAAGAATATTTATAACTCTCTCCGCAAGGTCTGTATATACTGTAAATACCGAGGAAAATCTAACCATTGCTCCTTCAGTCAAAAACAGAGGCCGCGCTCTCTCCAGTACCTGTATGTGCAGCCCCACGTGATGGAGCGGTACCTCTTTATGACGTAGTGATTCCTATGCTTCCATTTTCAACACGATTGCTCTGTGTCTATGGCGTTTCTAGCAAGATATCTCCATGAGATTTGTACATTGTTTCATATTGAAAAGTATAAAAAGTATCTTTACATTTCTGTGTGTGTATCCTATGGTTATCTGTATGTATTCTTTTCTATCATTCTAATAAAATTTATAACAATCAAGATGCCTGTCCGTGATGAATTAGGGGGTGGTCCAAAGGAACATTGAAAGGGCCCCGGAATGATTCTGTTTTTCCCGCTTCTCTGTTGTAACAGGATATTTTAAGAAGTATGTGTGCACCCTATCGACTGAGTACACCCAGCCTGTGAGACGATGCCCTCTCTAGTCGAGGCATAGCAGGTGCGGGAAGGGAGGGCAGAGAGGGGAAGCAGAAAATTCACTTTGTAGAATGATGGTATTGAGTCTGTTCTGACTTCATTTGGTTGATGGCAGCTACTTGTATATTTTGGACAAGTATTTTTTTTTTAAAGATTGGCATCAATTTTCCGGGCCCTGCATAGACTTTCTCTTTGGTGTTGGGGTTAGAGAGCCTGGCTTTTAAGCATCCCTTGTGATAGACAAGGTTCTAAATATTTGAAAAAAATACACCAGAAAAAAAGATTAGTTTCTGACTAGTACCGGTACGTGGAAGATGATATGCCAGCTCTCGGTAGAACTAAACGCTCCTACCAGACTTTCCTTTGCTATTTATACACTTTTATAAGAAAACAAATGGCTCTTACAGAAAGACCACACAACGCAATGTACGCCTTCGTTCACTGGCCTCGGCCTTCATTGACCAGCTCCCTCTCTCCCTGCCTCGTGAGCAGCCCTCATCCTGACTTCACAGGAACTGGTTTTTACCCCCAAATATGCATCCTCAGACGCCTCAATCTCGCCCCTCTATTTAAATCTGATATATCTCCTAAGTTTCTCTTAACCTACAGCTCTCCCTCCATCCTTTATTTTTAACTCTCCATTTATCAGCACAATACAGCTCATCACTCTTGGTGGTGTCGGCTTTGCCTGTGAATAAATTCGGTGGCTGCCCGTGGGTAGCTCCTGTCTGTCCAAAGACCCATGAATCACCCTTTAAACCCCAACAAGTGACTCTAACTTCCAGACCGCACCTCCCCCCACACACACACACGTGGAAATGCCTCCCTCTGTATGTATGTTCATGCCCCGTGGGGCACAGAAATTGCTTGGAAATAAAATTACAGTTTATTTAAGAAAGTCGATTGACTAGGTACGGGGGCTGCGAGGTGTCTCCCAGGGGCAGTGCAGGAGCTCCGAGGTTAGTAAGGGACAAAGGGGTGCTTGTTACCGCCTCCCAGGGTGTCGCCAGGGGTAGAACCTCTGGCCAAGCAGCCATTCCCCGGGGTCACGTGGCTAGGGCGACACATCGCCAATTCATGGGCATCCAGGAAAACCCGGGTTCTGCTTTCGTGGGTCGGGGGCAGGGCCAGGACGTGCCCTCTGAACGTCTCCCGGGTGGGGCCCACCCTGCCTGCCATGGAGCGCCTCTGGAACGCGAGGGCCCCCCTCCCACTGGCCCGCGGGGTGTGCATGCAGCTTGCTGTGGAGGCCTCCAGGGTATTCCCGGGCCAGCATAGGGGCATGGAGTTTGCGTGCCAGGGTAGCGGCACCCGAGACTGCGGGGCGCCTATAGGTGGGAGCACAGGTCCTCGGATGCCAGGTATGAGATACCCGGGTTCTGCTTTCGTGGGTCGGGGGCAGGGCCAGGACGTGCCCTCTGAACGTCTCCCGGGTGGGGCCCACCCTGCCTGCCATGGAGCGCCTCTGGAACGCGAGGGCCCCCCTCCCACTGGCCCGCGGGGTGTGCATGCAGCTTGCTGTGGAGGCCTCCAGGGTATTTCCGGGCCAGCGTAGGGGCATGGAGTGTGCGTGCCAGGGTAGCAGCACCCGAGACTGCGGGGCGCCTACAGGTGGGAGCACAGGTCCTCGGATGCCAGGTATGAGATGGAGACATGAGAAGCCGCAGGCACAGACAGGAGAGACTATGGTAGACCGAGTAGCCATTGCCTCTACAGGAGCCATCAGACAAAGTAGTTCTTCAAAGCGGCCGCACACTGCTGGTCAGTGGCACCGTAAACACACGCTCACACAAAAGAGGCCTCGTGCCCCATAGTGACCCTCGTGCTACATTAATGTAAACAGGTTCCCTGAGGGTGCGCCTGCGCAGTGCGTGTATTGCCACTACTGAGTCACTGCCCTCGCCCCTGCGTAGGGCAAAGAGGCCTTTCACCTGGTGATACTGCCGTGTCCTCGCCTGCACGCGTGCGTATGGCGAATTGGCCTTGATCGTCGGTGTGTTCTGATTAGGGTTCCCACAGGCCCCGGCGGAACCCCGAGGGAACTGCGTGTGTTGAGTGCAGGGAAACGGGCCCCCGGGCCTCGGGAGAAGTCGGACCTGGACGTTACCGGCCCTCCCTCCCCACTCCACCTGCCGCCTCTCCACCGTCTGCAGCCAGCGTTCTCTGAAGGGAGTTCATCTTGGCCGTCAGGACCCGCCTCGGGGGAGCACAGATGTCTCTTCCGTTGCTTTCCCTGTAAAGGGAATGACCAGTCCTTACAGCTGTGCCCGAGGTAGAAGGCGAAACACGTAAGGCGAGCTGGCTGTCCAGGCTTATTTAATCGCCCTCCGTCTCCTAATGAAGCGTGGACTGTGGGATGCAGGAGCACCAGGCGCAGGCATTACCGAGCAGGTGTTCGAACGGCGCCGGTAAGCACTTCTGTGACGGTCTAATCAGTGTCCTAATCCATCCTGCAGAGCAGTTGTCATTTCTTCTTCATTAGCTGCGGATACATTGTGTAACGCAGCTTATAAAGGTGTTCCTACCAACTTTCAGGAAGTGTGAGTACCCCAAGGAAGAAATGCCTCGAATGTGTCTTTCAAACACGCCAGTAAGGTGTGTTTTTTAATAAAAGACAGCTTGTGATCAAGGCTTAACACTCATTTGTATAGGATAGAGTCGACTTGTAAATATTTATATTTGCGCAAATTCTTTACTTGGAGTTGCAGGACAGTAAGTCACGTAGTTAGAAGGATGAGTCATAATTAGTGTCACTTCTGTGTCAGGAAGCTACTTAGCAATTAAAATGAGTGGCCCATTCTCCCCACCAGCCCCACCACCATGTTGGGTAAGAACTCCGCCCTAATTACCTCCCCACAAGCACATGTAGGCCTCTTTGTTTATTCTGTCCAGCTTAATGGAGATGCAATTGACATGTGACACGGTGCAAAGGTTAAGATGTAACCTTAAGGTGTAAGGTTAACATGTAACGACGGGATGATCTGGTCAGTGTATCCATTGCGTACAGATCCCACAATAAGCTGAGCTAACACCTCTTCCCTTCACATAATTCCCATGTTTGGGGGAATGATAACATTTAATCTAGAAATGATGCATTTGTTATAGTACAGTGATACTATAATCACACGTTTAGCCTTAAATATCTTTGAGTGGTGCCCGGTCAGTGTGGCTCAGTGGTTGAGTGGTGACCTATGAACCAGGAGGTCAGGGTTCAATCCCTGGTCAGGGCACATGCCTGGGTTGTGGACTGGATCCCCAGTAGGGGGTGTGTAGGAGGCAGCCGATCAATGATTCTCATCATCTCTCTCTCTCTCTCTCTCTCTCTCTCAAATCAATGAAAACGTGTGTTATTGTTTTAAAATTACATAGGAATATCAACTGGGCTTCATGACATCAGAAACTTGGAAACTGGGTCCAGTCTCGGTACTCAGGGCTCAGAAGTTAGTAAAGCAGTTTAGTAGGTGAGGCCTGGAAACGTATCATGAAACGGGGATGGCGCTCTGGGTCCTACGCTTGTTGAAAGTAGGCTGGGGGAGGACAGAGCTGATATTTGGTCTTGCGGCTCATCGACCCAGGAGGCTTAGCAAAAGGGGGCACAGGAGAAGCGTCACTGGGTGCAGGCCTGAGCGGGAATAGCCGCTCGCTTTGACCTGAGTTGAAGCCTGAAGAGGCCCCTGTGTGTTCTGTGTGGGGCTCGAGCCTGAATGATGTCAAACAGTGTAACACCCAAGTCGCAGGCAAGCGAACCTCCGCACACTGATGCTGCGGAGCACATCTCGTAACAGAAGAGCCACATTGTTGGTGAACTAAGGGAGACTGTGCGGGGGCAGCAGGAAAACATCACAGAACAGTGCGTGTGGCCCTTGGAGAATGAGCTCCCGTCGTAAACACACAGGGATGAAATTTTCACTAGTCAGACACGCCAAACTGGGCTCTCACCCGCTCTGCTTTTCAAAATGAAAGGAGTGTGAAGTGCCCGTCATGGGGGCACCTTTAACGGGGGCATGGTGGCGTGGACACAGCAGGCCCCGGACAGGAGAGGCACCTCCTGTCGCTCGTACAGTGTCATTGATTTTGAGTTATCACGTTGGTCCTCCCATGTGTGACCGTGTGTGATTAGTTGTGTGTGTGTTTTTTCAATACATTTTTATTGATTTCAGAGAGGAAGGAAGAGGGAGAGAGAGAGATGGAAACATCAATGATGAGAGAGAATCATCGTTAGCTGCTGCCTCCTGCTGGGGATGGAGCCCACAACCCGGGCATGTGCCCTGAGCGGGAATCGAACCGCGACCTCCTGGTTCATAGGTCGACGCTCCACTAGGAGCCACGCCGGCCGGGCGGTTGAGTGTTTCCCTTGGATCTTATCTGCGATGGTGTTGACTCGGCGAAGTGAGCTGACTGATTTATCAGCTCCGTGCGGGAAGCGGCTGTGCTTTCTGACCTCCGCAGTTTTGTCTGCCGCGTTAATGAACCGTGAAGGAGGGTTTACAAACCTATTAAGACAGCAGCGCTCGGCATCCCTGATTATCGCCGAGTGACAAGGCCTCTCTGGTAATCCACGCCTGAGACCCTACACGCTGAGGATCCCGCTCCCATCCACAGGCCGCAAGGAAGGTGTTGCTTCGCCATCACCCACCACCAAGCTCATTTCAAAAGCTCATTCCTGACGAATTAACTTCCCAAATATTTGGAACTGCACGTTTCCAGAGCTACGGTTGTCTGGTTCGAGCCCGTTCATTTTACAGAATTAAAAATCCGAGTGTGTAACTTCCTAGAGGCGGAGCGTGTCCCTAACCCCTCTCTCCTGGGGAGCAAAGGTTATATCAACCCACAGCTC